TAAAGTTGGGGCACCAGCAGTTGGTACAATGGCTATGTTGCTGGACTCCCATGTAGTCAATTGCAGTTTGAGTCCCAGACCTGGTGGCTTAAACTCATGCTGGGTGCATGTGCGTGAGTGCCCAAGATCCCGAGAAGAGAATGGAGGAGAAGGGATTGAGGCATGGCCATCCCCCCTGGGAGGTGATTTCTCGCTTCCTGTCTCTCTGTCTCTCTCTGTTTTTCTGGCTAGCACACGCACCCTACAGCAAAAACCTCTCAAAAAGAAAAAGAAAAAGAAAGAAAGAAAAGAAAAACACACCAGAGGGTTGTGCGTGTGTGCCCACAGTCTAGGGAAGAGAATGCAGTAGAAGGTATTGCTGCATGGCCGGGCCCTCTACCCTCTCACCCCTAGAGGTGCTTTCTTGTTTTCTCTCAAAAATAAAAAAATAAAATTAGGTTAGAGAGATAGGCAAGGGCCAGATCTCATGGGTAAGTGCAAGGAATTTGTCTTTTTTTCTAACTGTAATCAGAAACCCTGGGGAGTTTTAAGCAGGGAGAAAGATAAAGACTAATGAATTCTAAAAAGATAACTCTGGCTTCAGTAGAGAAAATGGAGAGGAAGTAATGTGGATACTCTTGGACTCATTTTTCTGCATCACCAGGGGAAACGGGCAACAGTGTGGACAACAAAGAGGCTCACCATGCCTCTGCATGTACTCCTAAGTCTGGAAATGTCGATTTAATGGGCATTTACTGCTGCTTTGGAGCGTATTAGGTTTAGTCCAATGTGCGCGCGCACACACACACACACACACACACACAGATTATAGTATATTAGTGTCCAAATCTCTTAACAATGTGACTCTGTTTTATGCCTTGCTCACTTTTCTAGTCTCTCACCTGTCCTGTCCTTCATTGGGTACTATTTCCTTCTCATCTCCATCAGAAAACATTTTTCTTTTTAATTTCTCTCTCTTTAATGCTTCTGTCTGTTGTGCAGATTATGTCCTCTAAATGAGACTAGATAAAGGTGAAAATGAAAAAGAAAATGTAATTCATAAAGCCAAATAGTAATACCAAAGCTTAACAGTAAAGTGATAGAAATGGGTTTTAGCCAGCAAGTATTGCAATAAAGGAAAAGAGAACTAGGTTTAAACCAGGCTTCACTTTGAAGGCAGGCCAGGGTGATCAGATGTCACCGGGGGCTAAAAGGGGGGTGAGGAATTTGATAATATCGAGATGATCAGAAATAGGGTGTGGGATTCTTTCTGAACTGACTCAACAGGGTTGTTGGTGAAACTGGGCAATCAGTCCCAACAAGGACGGACAAGCCCAAGGTCAATCCTGGTTGAGAAGAAGGCTAAGAAGAGTCTTATTAATGTTTGGTCAGGCAGATTCTGCCAAATAGGAAGCAAAAAATACTTGTGTTGGGCCAGCAGGTGGCATAGTGGCTAAAGTGCTGGACTCCCACACAGCTCAACACAGTTTGAATTCCAGACCTGGTGGCTTGAAAATCATGCCAGGCCTATGTACGTACATCTCCAAATTCCCAGAAGGAGAATGTAGGACAGGGATGGCTACGTGGCCATCCCCAGTGGGGGTGATTTATCACTTTCCCTCTCTTGATCTCTCTCTCTCTGGTGAGTGCATGGACCCTATGGCAGAAACCTAAAAAAAAAAAAGGTGTGTATCCCTACCTCTTTATTGCTAATGTGGATAGGCAGAGCTAGTCCTATGTAGACCGCAATGTCTGGGGGGAAAAGTCATACCATAATTTTTTTCTTTTAATTTGCTATGGGGTGCACATGTTCACTAGAGACAGAGAGAAAAAAAGACAGAGAGAGACAGAGAGAGAGTAAGAGTGACAAAGCACTCGCAGGGGTATGGCCATGCTGCAATCCCTTCTCCTCCATTCATCTCTTGGGTTTTTTTTTT